ATATAGCAGTCTTTTTGCTTAATACTATTTAAAAAAACAAGTTATTCATGAGTTTGTTAATACTTATAATGCATTAACTTAAACTGTTACAAAACACTGGTCACACACTGAAGCAGGTGCACAATTTCACAAAATCTAAGGTTGTACATTTATTCAGTTTGGTAAATTAAATTTTATAAATAGTTGCTCAGCTTACTTTTTAAACTGAACTTTATTGATCTGCCATGATGATCACCTCCTCACAAATATTAGATTTATTTTTATCTTTAACTATAAAAAACTGTGTAAATGTGCAACACCTAACGTTGCCAAATACTGATCCTGCTTCCACGTATGAACAATGTTTTAATAAATGATGATTAATGCTTTATAATGTGTTTACTTATAACCTATTTATGACACATTAATAAATCATTTATTTAAGGGCTCTCATTAGGAAGTGGTGTCAAAATGAAAGAATCAAACTTTAATACTTACATCTATACTCTTTTTTTTGGTTTTGGATGAAATTAAAAACATCTTCCAGTGATATATTTAGCATGAACTTTCTTATAGTACACTATTAAAACAATTTTTTTTTTAAAAAATGCATGAGCATGCAAGAAAACACCATGCAACAAATAATTTACAAAAAAAACTTGCTCAAACTATTTCTTCTAAAAGTGCATCATTGGTAAGAATATTACCTGCAAGAACAAAAATAAGCWCTTTTTTATTGTTTTTAAAAACATTAATATTTAGGTTCTCCTAAGTTCTAATCGGTTCATTAGGAAAATGTGAGTAACTCTGTAGTTTTGTGGGAAAAAAACACCTCAGAACTTGCCTCACTGCTGATTCCTTTGTGTTAAACACATTTTTAACCAACAGTTTGTGAATACCACAGAGATCACACTTTACCGGTGCCAACTCGTGTGACATCATTTACCCGGGAAAGAATCTATGCCACATTTTAAATGGCTTCATTAATATTTCATACGACTCAAACAGCACCTGTTCATGTAGATGAACTTAAAGGAACTGAGATGGGATGAGGAGAATGAGTAATGCGTTGAAAGAAGTTTTTTTTTTCCTTCGGCATGTCATTACTAAACAACAACGCGGCTCTAAGTGGTGAGAACAGATCAATACTCATAAACTCAAAGGCAGAACACCACGGACTGAAGACYAATTTGTCATTAGAGAACTAAATCGGATTTGGATGTGAGTTTAAAGGAGCTGTCGGAGGTTTCACCGATTAGGTTGGATTTTTATCTTAGATGTTTGAGGAGTTTACGTCTTTTGTGTTGCAACAATCTCAAACGTGTAAAAATCAAATAAAACATTTCCTTTAGAGATGGGATATCTGCGAACGAGCCAAATTGTTTGAACGGCTCCTCGCAACAAATGAGTTTCGGGCAGTAAAGAGTCGTTCATAATTAAATTTTTCCTCTGAAGAAAATTATAGTTATTATGGCTTAGTACTGATTATAAACAACACCAGAGTATTAGGGTTTCCTTATTTTATAATACTTTTATAATGTTTGTTATAATTATGTGTTAATTAAATTAGGTAAACCTAATTTAATTGTCGATTGTCTCCTAAACAGGAGACAACCGCTCCTTCGCTGTTTCATGGAAAACGGGCAGAGGGGTGACGTGATGACATCACCACGTATCTCCCTGCTTGATGATGTAACGGTCAAAATAGACAGATTCATGAAACAGATCCTCAAGATCTGAATGCCCTCAAAAAGTCATTCGCCCCCATCTCTTATTTTTATTTTGTGCAATTTAAATACATGCTACATGCAGCTGAGTCCTGAAACCCCGACCCCCCACCCCCACAC